ATTTGGATGATAAGATTGCAGCGACAGTGATAGCCATATCCAGGCATTTGAAAATCGAGCCCAGTAGGATGAGTTTTCCTAGGAAAACATCCAGAGGTAATCTTGCCAGCTGATGTCCAAGCGGTGTAAGATCTTCAGCGCCTGTCAAAGCACGAACGTCCACAAGCGCATCGATTGCGCGACGTATATTCTTCGCCGAGGGGGGGTCCAAAGCGTCGCCCAACGTCTCCTCAATACCCCCTATCTTGCATATCTTGACTCGAATGGCTAAGTCTTGCAAGGAAAGCCGGAGCATCTCTGGGGTTTGTTGATCGCTCATAAGAGTATCGTGCCTATACCGAGTAAACATATGGAAGCAAAGTCCATTTTGCACTCGGCCAGCTCGTCCTCTACGCTGTTTGGCATTTGCTCTCGATATGAAGGTATCAATCAGCCTAGAAAGCTGCTTCTTCTCATCAAAGCGCATTTCACGATGCTTGCCTGTGTCGATCACGCAAGTGATATCCGGAATGGTGATACCAGTTTCAGCAATATTCGTCGCCAGCACAATCTTCCGCATCCCTTGGGGTGGTACGAGAAAAGCTGCTTCTTGGTCCTCCATGGCAATCGTGGAGTGGAGAGGATAGACAAGCCAAGTTTGAGCGAATCGAGGATCTCCCAACAGCATATCATTTAGCGATCTAATATCTGCAATACCAGGTAAAAAGACCAAGATTGCGTTGCTGTACTCTTGCAGCGATTCGTCGGTAGCAATTCGAGAGATGAGTTCCACAATGAGATCAAGGTCGATCTGGTATTCGTTCATCTGAGCAAGAACAGCTTTGGTTCTATTTGAGTAACCAGTGAGGCTCTGTGCTATCTCCGTTTTCAAGCCGTCTACTTCCGTCGCCTCAGGAGCATCGTCATCGAGGTCAACTAGTCGATCGGATTCCGATGTGCTGGGAACATAGCCGGTAAGTTCAACAGCATCTTCTAGGTAGCGGACCTGCACCGGGAAGGTTCTTCCTGGAACATTTAAAACAGGCGCGCCACCTAGATATGCGGAAAACCGCTCGGCATCCACAGTCGCAGACATTAAAATAACCTTCAAATCTTTCCGGCGTTTGAGGAGGCGTTTAAGAACAATGAGAAGGAAGTCGCTATCAATGGAGCGTTCATGTACTTCATCAAGTACTAAATGTGTAACTTCATGGAGATCGTTGGACCCTTCAAGCATTCTCATGACAATTCCGGTGGTGGCGTATACAAGCCGTGTTTCTTTGGATGTGTTGGATTCAAGGCGGATAGAATAACCAACAAGGGATCTAGAAGTCCCCAAGTCGCCCTTTTCGTCGCCCAGCTCTTCGCTTACACGACGGGCGAGAGATATGGCAGATATACGACGAGGCTCTGTACAATAGACCTTGCACTGTTTACCCTGTGACAGTTCATGCTCCAGCAAAAAAGCTGGTACCTGGGTGCTTTTACCGCTGCAACACAGTGAGCAATAGGCATCATCAGGCAAAGAGTGAGACAACCGAACTTACCAACCAGTCTCGCCGCAGATTATTATCACCTGATTGTTATCCACAGCGTTGAGAACTTCGCCCTTGGATTTCCACATTGGAAGCTGGACTCGGGATTGCTAGCATAATACTGTTAATACACAGCAGTAATGCGATAGAAGATAGCACGAATCAATAACATACCAGCATAGCCTCGTACTTCTTCCTACCTGACTTTAAGGTCCACATTTTCTTCAAGTTTTCATCGATTTCAATGTGCTTTGTCCGCTCAGCGTGCCCTGATTCAACTCCATCTGAAGAGGCCTTGCCATTATTGCGACCTCGGAACGCTCCCTGTAGAACGACGCCATCTTCAAGCTCTTGATCTTGTCTCTGGCGGACAAGAGCTTTGATTTGCTTCACAACCAGTCGATCCTGCGCATCGAGATGAGATTTCTTGGCTTCGGCCATCTCAGACCAGAAGTCGCGCCAGACGGGATGAAGTTTGAGGTTGACCTTTTCATCTTTTGGATTGCCATTAAATATATGAAACAGGGCCACTGTAGCGATATAAGCCTCTGACTGCTTAGTATCAGGTGTGGCGACGTTAGTCATGGTAAATTTGAAATGTGTGGGATCAATCGTTGCCTCGACGTCTGAGCTTGCAATGACTTGAGGAAGCTCCTGTGTCTTGGACCACAAAACGTCCACAGAATGACGGTTGGCAAATGAAGCTTCGGAAACAACGGTGTACCTAATATTAACAGAAGGATCCCTAGTCGCTACATTAACAATCACTGCAGGAATAATCTTGAGAAACAAGTGGCCCGGTATGGCACATACCTTGAGCGACAGGCTTCTTCTAATACTCGTTTCGGACTGACGCCTGTCCATTTGGAAAACTCTCGAATAAAAAGTTTGGTGCCGTCTGAAGAGTTAACCACAGTTTGGAGCATTCCAGTAGCCGGGTTCACCTCGCTCTGTGGAAGAGACTCAAACAAGCCTGCAATATCATCATCTTCAGCATTCTCAGCCAGGATGTCTTTAGCCATTTTCTCAGCTATAGCAGCGATATCATCATCTTCAGCGACCTCAGTCGCAGGATCTTCCGATTGGAGCTGGCTGTCTCGATCACCAACAGGGTTCTTTCTGGCCAAAGCTAGCTGTTTTTCCAAGACAACCTTCTCCTTCTTCCATTCCTGCTCTGCCAAAAATTTATCAAAAAGAACGTCAGATTCTATTTTCTTCAATTTGGATTCCAGAACGGCCACTGTTGAGTCTGTCTCGATATCTTTGGCTTGTTGCGTGGTGGGTTTGGACTGGGGTCCTTTCTTCTCCATACGGCCCAATTCGAGTAGCCTTTTCTTCGTAGCGACATATTCTGGTATTAAATCTTCGGGCTCAATTTCGCCATCGAACGTTGCGATAGGTGCCTTTGGGGGTGATCGGGATTTGACCTTGCTTTTTTCATTCCGGCTGGCTTCAGCCGCGTTCAGTTTGGGAGTGCCTGTGCGAGAAGGAGTTGCAGATGTACTGTCCGCAGAGTCTAAATAAAACATTAGATGATGTTACAACGGAGATTTTGTGTTATTGGCTGGCCATGGAAGAAGCTAACCTTTGAGATTTGGCTTGGTTCTGTTCCCATACGTAGGAAGCTCTTCGAGAGGAGTTTCACGAGCAAGCCATTCCAGGGCTTCCTCTAATCCCCATATATAATCCCGAGGGGCAGATGAGATATTCGGCGCAATGTCCAAAATATGTTGTACAGTGCTCTCAACAACGCTCTCCGAAAATGCTGCCCCAGACAGAGCCTGTCGCAAGGTCCATATGCGTGATACCAAATCCTCTTCAGAGGGCATCTTTCCAGGCCCCGCATTCTCAGATGACAAGCTAGATGCATAAAAGCGACTCTCAGCTTTGATCAAATCAAGGATGTGGTCCATCAACTCTCGGGGTAGCCATTTTGGTGTATTGATGGTCTCTGCCTGGCTTCGAAGCAGGCGTCGGTCGGTCTCGAGCCGGGAGCATTGGCGCTGCGCATCTCGCTTCACCTTCTGCGAATACTTTTCTACAAATAGCTGCAGTTCGGACTCTTCGAGCTGTCGTTCGAATTCTTCGGGGCTTAGCACAGCTTCTTTGGCTTGTGCCCGTTCGCTGTGCTGTTCGGCTGGCGTTGAAGCTGGTGGGGTAGCTTCTGAGGCGGCTGGAGGGGCATTCTTTGGAGTATTGATGCCCGAAGAGGACTGTGATCCTACAGGTTCCACCACTTCCAAGCGAGGTTTGGACGCAACAGAGGTCGTTGCAAAGCCTCGCGCTGGGTTTGCTGCCGGCTTCTTCTTCTTCTTGTTACCACCGGCCATGAGATAGAGCAAAAAGAGGTGCCTGTAGTTTATGCGAGAGAAGGAGGAAAGTGAATGAGTGCCTGGACAAGAAGTGCCTGAAGTGCAGAGATAAGATATCAGCAGATAAATGAACGTACAATGGAGAAGTTGATATGCCCCAGTTCTTCTACAGCACTTTGGCTAGCTACATTGTGGTATCGGCACACTATTTACTGCATTATCTAAGCACCCTTCCGCATTCTGCACCTAAGCATACAGACTATGCCAATTAACTACTACTACTGCCTCAGATATAAACGAATTGTGTATTTAGATGGAACGAATCTTTAATTTTGCTCTTTCTAATCAATTGTACTAGAGGCTTTTTCTCTTTTTTTTTCCCTTTCCTTTTCAGGGTTTTGTCTCTTTTCACGGTCTTCTTTTCTTGCAACCATATTAGCACAAGCTATCTGTGCAGGCATATGCTATCGAGTGCTGCTACTGCCTAAGAGTCTAAGTATTTCAATTACCGTGCCCAAGCTGATGCGTGAGATTCTTCTTTGTCCCATCTTTAGCCAGAGCTGGCGTTCTATGAAGCATGCATGTGACAGCGGATCGCCCGACTCTCAGAATACGGTGAGCTTCATCTCAATCCACCATTTTTCACATGCCTCGATATCTGTAGTCTACCCTGTGTCTTCTCCTTATTGTTGCAGCATGCTCCTGTAAGCAGCACTATGCCATAAGCCCTTCTTTCGACGCGCTTCAGAAGATCCTTCAGCTCTGTCATAATTCCTCCTGGGGCGCGTTCTGCCTGCATGGCGCACTACACCAAATTGTGTAGGCTAGCGTAGCTAACACCGGCCTGCGCCCCTGTGGAATGCTGGGCCTGACGTCTTCTTTCTTCTGGCAACTTCTCCCATCTTTTCGATATATCTTTTATTGCTAAATGTAGAGTAAAGCTTCTCTGCCAACCGTCGGCTGTGCTTCGCTGGCTGTCTTCAATGAATGGTGTCGAGACGTGCTCAAGCCATCTTTCACATACCGGCCGTTCTTCAGCTAAACATCCCGCCTCAGTCCACATAGACTCAGTCAACGACTCTGAGTCAAGCGGAAGAGCCATCTTCGTTCCATCTTGATAATTCACAACACGCTCACGTTTTATAATCAATTGCTTGTCAATTAGCTGGGCAAAATGTTTGCTTTCGACCAAGCCGCACTACCGCAGATCACAACACGCAAAGCTCTCATTGTGGTTGACTTTCAAAATGAGTTCATCGGCGATGCTGATCCAGCGTTGCCTGTTAATCGCCCCGAGGGATTTGTCAAACGCACAGCTGAGATAGCAACCGCCTTTCGCTCTGTGGGGGATGTCATCTGGATTCACTCTCGATTTGACAAGGCTCGTTCGACTGATGACGATCAGATCATTTTATCAGAGAACCCACCCGCTTCGCAACCTGCATCTTCTCGAAATAAGGGCAGGCCAATTGTTACTGAGCCTTCTTCTGACGAACCTTTAGACCCTGAAGCTTTTCTAAGCCACGAAGAGCCTTTGCACGCCAAGACTTCTTCTGATCCGGGGAGCAACGTCCCATTGGCTATCGAGGAGGCCATTCACAGCAAGGACCTCAAATTAACAAAGTCTTACTACTCAGCGTTTCATGGCACACAGCTGTTGCGCGCCTTGCGTGGTAGAATGGTTACTGAAGTTTTCATCTGCGGCTCTCTTGCGAATATCGGTGTCTATGCTACCGCCATGGAAGCGGCCGGCCACGGTATGGCCATTACAGTCATAGAAGACTGCTGTGGGTATCGCCACAAGTCTAGGCAGGCTGCGGCGATAAAGAATCTCATTGAGCTAACTGGCTGTGAGATTTTACCCTCGGAAGAGGTCCTCAAGACCTTAGCCCCAAGCAAATCAGAAACCAAGACTCCAGGTGAACCAACATCTGCTAAACGGGCAAAGGCCGTCGCTAGCACCGATGAAGACATCATACAGTCCCTGTCTGGTCTCAAGTTAGATTCCAGCCCATCCGGCCCTAGCTCTGCTGTAGGCAAGGTCAACCGGGCCCCGAAAGCCAAGAGCGAATCTCAAGAGCCTAAAGAGGCCACCACTGAAGTTGAAAAAGAGAGTGAGAAAGACCAGCCTGTGGTTGGAGATGGCCCAACGGGGCGTGTTGCCGATGCTGAAAACGAAAGTGACTCGTCATCTCAGTCCAAACTGTGCGAAGGTGACACAGACGTCATATATGATGCCCTGCCAAAGCCTTTAGCGGACGAAGCTTTTGATAAGCTTGAGAAAGAGGTTCTTTGGCAGCGAATGTCCCACCAGGGCGGAGAGGTTCCTCGACTCGTCGCAGTTCAAGGCCAAGTGGACGAAGATGGCACGATGCCAGTGTATCGTCACCCTGCCGACGAATCCCCGCCCCTGCTGTCCTTCTCTCCAACGGTCCAAGCCATCAAAGCCGAAATTGAGAAGCATCTTGGTCATCCTCTAAACCATGTCCTCATTCAATTTTATCGCGACGGAAATGACTACATTTCCGAGCATAGCGACAAAACGCTAGACATTGTAAAGGGGTCTTATATCGCAAACGTCAGCCTTGGAGCGGAAAGAACCATGATACTAAGAACTAAGAGGCTGGAAAGGGATCTTTCTGGGACGGCAGCAGCAGCAGCAGCAGCAGCAGCAGCAATAAGTAAGGAGGAGAAGCGAAAGATTCAGCGTGCTCGCCTTCCTCACAACTCACTCTGTCGCATGGGCCTGCAGACTAATATGAAGTGGCTGCACGCCATCCGAAGAGACAAGCGCGCAGATCGCGACAAGTCAGCTGCAGAACTGGCGTTTTCGGGGCGCCGTATATCGCTTACATTTAGACACATTGGAACGTTTCTGGATCGTGATGAGACTATTATCTGGGGTCAGGGGGCAACCGGCAGGACCCGCGACACCGCGCATCCCATAAGCAACGGTCAGAGCCCCGAAGCTGTTAAAATGATTCAGGCATTCGGCACGGAGAATCATGCCTCAGATTTTGACTGGTCTGCTCATTACGGCCGTGGTTTTGACGTGCTGCATATTAGCAACTCTCCCAGGTTCTTTGCTTCTGCGGACCCAATAGTGAATATGCGCATCGCACTTATGCTGGCCGAGTATGGCATTAAGTATGCCAAGGGCAGCATGGCTTCTGGCTCCGAATCCCATAACGAGAACCAAACAAACCCGCCAGCATTGTGGTCTCTTCCCATAAAGTTCATTGATAATGATGCCGCTAAATCGGTCATTCATGGCGACATGGCTATTATGCTCTACCTTTACTCGCGCTATGACCCGGGCCGTGTCACTGGATCAGGAGCTGCCACTCGAAATCCATCAGAACTTGCTAAACTGTTCAGCCAATTTCAACAAGGAATGAAGTTCTTCAATCTCTGGCGCCAACTGAGTGGCGATGGAAGTACAGGGACTCGTGCCGGAGCACTACCTGTGACATTGAAGCAAGAACTTGCTGTTTGGGACAGTTACATTGTCGACGTTTCGAAAAATGAGCGAGTTCCATTCCTATGTGAAGATTCTCTCACCCTTCCTGACTTTGTCGTCTGGCCGATTCTGTATTCCATCGTAGAAGAGCACGGCTCAGAAGTAGCATTTAAAGGTCTAGACGGGTTGCAGAAGTATTATGAGGCTGTTCGACAGTTGGATAACGTGGTTACTGCTGTAGGAAATCGCTAGTTTCAACGTCTTACTAAGAGAGGAGAAAATAGTCATAAACCTTTCACTAATCTAATCTTTCTGTCATCCAATTACCTTGTAGTCTAATGTACATGTAGAGCTTTACAAAATGCTTCTACGTGATTTAACAAATTGAAGAATCAAAAGCTGCAGAGGAACGTCTGAATCCGCAGGCGGGATGCCCACAGTGGTGATAGAATCCTTCAATTTAACTATCTAAGGATACAGTACTTTGAACAGGGCTTTGCCATATGGGATTCAACTATTGAGCCGCGTCCCAAGGGAGAGGGTATGTGCCCACCCAGTCCGCGACCTCGCTCTTCAGCTGCACAATCTCCGGATCGCTGTCTCCATTGCCCAGATGCTCTACGAAAAGCTTGAGCTTGCCGGGCGACTTTTCACCTCGCTCTTGAGCTGCCGCTCGCACAGTCTTGTTAATGCGAGTCGCAATGGTGACAGCTCGGTCAACAACATCTGCTACGCGGACAAAATCGTCTTCACGGAAGCCACGAGTTGTCATGGCGGGCGTTCCCATACGAAGACCGCCAGGCACCAAGGCTGATCGATCGCCTGGGACGGTGTTCTTGTTCGCAGCAACGCCAACTAGTTCCAGAACACGCTCCACTCTGCTGCCGTCAATGCCATGGGGCTTAAGGTCGACGAGAACGAGGTGGTTGTCGGTACCGCCACTGACAAGATTATATCCCAGGCCGCCTTTTCCCTTGTCTTCTCCAAGACGCTTGGCGAAGGCCTTGGCATTTGCCAAAACTTGGGACTGATAGGCCTGGAATTCAGGCGTCTGTGTCTGCTTCAGCGCTACAGCAAGAGCCGTTATGGTATGGTTGTGAGGACCACCCTGGTGACCGGGGAAAACGGAGTTGTTGATTGGACCCTCAAGATCGTACATTTCGTCCACTTTTGTCTTTGGGTTCTGCCTTCGAACACCTTTACGGAAGAAGATTAAAGCTCCCCGGGGGCCACGGAGACTCTTGTGGCTAGTGGTGGTGACGATGTCAGCGAAGGGGAATGGACCGGGCAACACCTTGGCCGCAACAAGACCAGAGATGTGCGCCATATCTGCCACCATATAAGCGTTGACCTTGTCGCAAATTTCCCGTATGCGCTGGTAATCAATCAAGCGGCTATAAGCACTGGTTCCGGCAATGATGATCTTGGGTCGGTAGATGGTGGCCAGCTTTTCAAGGTTATCGTAATCGATATAGCCGGTACGCTCATCCAGTTGGTAAGGCAGAGTTTCAAAATACTTTGACACTGCAGATATCTTCTTGGTCGGCGTCTGGTAGCCATGGGAAAGATGTCCGCCATGAGGCAAGTCAAGGCCCATCAGTCGGTCATGAGTATCCATGAGTGCTGAGTACACATAGAGGTTTGCCGGGGCGCCAGAAAGAGCTGCATATAGCAATGGTTAATTTACTTGTAACGCAGAAGCTTCGAATATTCGAATAGTGCTTGACTTGCCCTGTACATTGACTCCCCAATTCTTGGAATCCAAGCCAAATGCTTCCAGTGCTCGCTGCTGGCATAGTCTCTCGGACTGGTCGATAACCTCATTGCCGCCATAGTATCGGGCACCAGGGTAGCCCTCCGAGTACTTGTCTGCAGGGGAATATCCGTTAGTTACTCTGAGCAGCCACTCGGCGACTCCAACGTTTACGTACTCTGCATGACACTGCCCAGCGCATCTAGTACGGCCTGGGAGGTGAAATTCTCTGACGGAATCAGATTGATGAAATGCTTCTGTCGCGTTTTTTCCTACTCCAGGGCTCAGCATGCGCAACACTTGCTATGTGGGCTGATTCTTCAGAGACGGACTCGTTCAATGATGTCAAAAACAGCCGGGTCGGCCTTCTCGAGATGCGCCGAGAGAAGCTGTTGGCTCATTGTTAGTACATGATGCCTGACATGGCCAATTGGAGCTTTGCCGACCTGCTGCTGGCCATCTTGGGCCAGTGAAGCCTTTGCTCGTCGAGCGACCAGAGCTGCTGCAGTCACAGACGGTGGCCTTGTGGCCAGCCTCTTCAAGCTGCCAAAAGGCATAGCCCTGCTTCGCAAATAAGCTGCCATGGCGTCAAGGACTTGAAGGCTGGAGACGTGAGGCGCCCAGGTTCAATTACGACGCAGACAGGAAATATAAAGGGCGAGGCGGCTAAATATCGAGCCTGCGAGGATGCTGCGACGGAGAACAAAATAGCCCGGCGAGGAATCGTAGCGGCGCTGCTTGCCGCAACCACCTCCGATCGCGTGGGTTGAAATGCGGCGCTCCGTGGCCTGGCCTGACCGTGATTATCCGGCTGCAAGTCTCGCCATCCCCGCATACAACCCAAGGCAGTATAGTTTGCCGCCTACTAGCGAGCGCAGTTACATGTCTGCCAGGTACCCAATTGCGCAGAGCTTCGCGGCCTGCCCCAGGCTGTCTCGTGAGGGATCGCAGCTGAAGCGCGCATTTTACAAATAGTTTCGCTGCTTCAGTGGAATACGTTACATAATGTAATCCCTCGCATGGGGCTGCTATGACCTGTACGTTTAAGATTGAAGATTCTGAAGATTCCAATATCTTGAATTAGCGCCCTTTCGAGTCATTGCAAGCTATACCTCCACAAGGTGGAATAGCCGCACTCCGGTAGATGCCTCGCTCTACTAAACTACTTGTGAACTCGGCTTTACCATTCAGCATCACGACAAGACAAGGTAGGTAGGACTAGATATTGTACTGTAGAGTAGCAAAGAAGGATTCTCTCGCTAAAGCGATCACGGCGCAACGTTCGATTCTTCGGCTCATCCTTTTCCCGCTTCCCCACAGCTCCCCGCCCCCGGCTCTGTTTCGGATGCTTAAGACATGATGCTCGACTCCCGTGCGCTGATTGCTTTCTTCTCTCTTTCCAGATTATCAACTAAAGTTGGGCGTGACGAGTCTGCTTGGTTTTACTTATTGGAATTCCGCTTCTTGCGGGAGCATGCTGATATGCCCTGGCGCCTTCACCACCTTGAGGGGCAATTTGAAGCATCCTGATCCAACCAATAGTTGATGTACCCGTGCTTGGTTTACTTCTTGTCCTCTGTGCATAAAGCTCTTCCTACCATTTCGCCTACCACCTCTCCTTGCGTGCTTGATCTTATTGTTTTCAACTCAAATATCTCGTCTTTTTTAAAAAGCTTGTCAATCATGTCTCTTACAACATCATTGTAAAGATAAATCTCTTTTAGATTCCTGCCCTTAGACACAACACACCACTACATGCCCATTCATTTTCATATCCATCCATCACCGCGAGACCATTAACATCTTCCCAAGGTATCATAGACGCAACTTTTGTCATGCTTCAACAAGAGATCGAATTAAAATTCTCGAGCATTTACCATTTCATTTTTTTCAATGCTACATGCCACAAACCCATTGGTACGACTGTAGAAACCAGAAGGGCATAGAAAAAAGAACCCAACCCGTAGACTCCAAATGCAGCCCCTCAGACCGAGAATGTCCTTTCAAAAATGGGTTTACTCGTCATCCGCCAGCAGGGCATTTCGCTTTGCCGCCACTCTCTCCATCTTGCGCTCACGAGCGGCCTTGGTCTTGGCACGCTTGGCGTCCATCTCGTCCTTGAGTGCCTTCTCACGCTGCTTCTCGGCCTTGGCACGGTGAATCTAGATTAAAAAAAAAAAGACGTTAGAACATATTTTTTTTCACCTCATCGCATAGAGGGAGAATAAGGGAATGGTAAAACATACGTGCTCCACCAGGGCACGCTTGTGCTTGAATGTGTTACCCTTGCTCAGGTGGTAGAGCTCGTGGTAGAGGTGCTTGTCGATCTTGCCGCTGGCACGGTACTTGACGAGGAGGCGGCGGAGGACGCGGAGGCGGCGCATCCAGAGAACCTGGCTGGGCATACGAGCGTCGGCGGTACCCTTTCTCTTACCGAAACCACGGTGTCGGCCTTCTCTTCGGGAGAGGTTGAGCTCACGGGCTCGGGATCGCGAGTGCATGGTCACCGGCTTTCGGATAATGAGGCCATCGGCGACGAGCTTTCGGATGGTCTGGCGAGAGTTGGCGTTGGAGATCTCGCTCTGCTCGCTAGGATCGAGCCAAATCTTGCGCTTGCCGCAGCCAATGACTGACGCGGCAAGGCGCTTCTGAGTTCGCAGGTTGACCCTAAGCCATGGGAAATAGAAACTTTTGTCAGCAACATGTCCCCTCCCATCGCCAATTGACAAGATTCGAATCAAATGAAAAGTCGTCGTCTTAATAGAATTATTCGTAGGCGAGCGTGTTGTCCAGGTCGGATAAACGCAATGACAACTTACATCTTGAATGACTTCGGTGTTGATGGCCGGCCCTCGATGGCGATGAGGTTGGATGAAGTTTTAGGGGAGGGTTTACAAGGCCAGAATTTCTGGAGAGGCTCGTAGCAGTTCTGCTCAAAGTTTGTGGGTTCACGTGCACTAGGCCAGAATTTTAGCACTTCAGACAGCGGCTAAGCGAGGGCTCGGATGAGTAATGATTTAGCATGACCATAGCAATGGTCACGTGCCTGGCATCTGGCTGGTAACTTGAACAACACTGCCAGTAAGTGTTACATAATCACCAGAATACCTAAATAGATCATGGTTTTAAATTCGCAGAAATTCAAGAGAGAAGGAAAAAAAAGAAAGAGAAGGAAATTAGTGGGGCTGTTGATGATTGCTTCTTTTTGGTATCCAAAACGCCGTAAGTCTACAATAATCATAAAAGCATGTCCGATATAATTCTGGAAGGGTTTCTCTTGAATTATAGTCGTAAAATCATGGCAGTTGTTAGACATGATGGATGCTAGTACTAATGCCAAGATCAAACCCATATAACGTGTCCTCTCGTTTTATTTTCTAAATGATCTTACAAGATTTTGTTTGCCTACTGAAGTGTTATACACAGTGATCTCTCTGTGCTTTGACTCATACAGCTGCCTCTCCATCAAAATCAACTTTTCCCACGCTCCATATCTCTCGCTCATCCTCCAGCTCATCATTCGACAGTCCCAAGCTCCCTTGTCCTCCCTCAGCCTCTCTCCTTTCTCTAGCCTGGACACCCAGCCTCATGGCAACTCGCTTGAAGTAGTCACTCATGCTTCTCTTGGTGTTCGGAGGCAGCTCATTGCCCGGCCCTCCCATGTACTTGTCAAATATTCGGCTCTCTTCGTCTGCGACACTGAACAACTCGACAAATGCTGCTTCAGCAGACAGCTTTACAGGAATCACTGGATCCCTGACACTCGCGAAAATCGGCGGCGCCAACAGTGATACATGGGGTCGTACTAAATCAGCATTTTTCCTGCTCAGTGTACGGATAGTCACTAGAGCGAGTCGCCGTGAGTCTGTCGCATTGCCCGGTTGGACGATGAGCGCCAGAGCATCGAATATCTGCTTGGTGTCATCAAATGATTTTGGAGGTGATGAAAGCAAGAATTTTCCCGCGGCGAGGATGAAGTTGTCTGCGATATAGGTCTGCGTAGAATTTTTAGCTAGGACAACAGAACAACGATTTATGGGACTGGGCTTACTCGTTTATCACTCATTCCTCCACAGAGCAGCCCCGGTAGCTCATCAATTAAACCGCTCGACAATAAGATGTCCGGCGACTCAACCAATACTGAATTCAGAGCCAAGACAGACGAGTTAGTAAACTGAGACGTTATGACCCTGTTTCTGAGCAAGCTGATGGCGACATCTTCGGATACGTTCTTAATCAAAGCGCCGAGAAGCTTTGCATTGGTAACTACCATGGCCTCATCTCTCTCATCAGTGTCTCCGTCGATTAAAGACAGCACAGCTGATCTAGAAGTTTCGCCCATGTTTGCACCGGCCCTGCTCACCACCTCATACAAGGCTTTGAACATCGCTGTCCTGACACCTGGATCGGTAGTTTTTGCGCCCGTCACGAGCTCAGTAATCAAAGGGTCGATTCTGGGCGTATAATTGATCAAAGTTCCAAGGGCCTTTGCAGCTCTAGTCCTCAAAACTTCGCTGGACGTATCTGCTAAAGACTTGGCAAAGGTTCGTTGAAGCTGAGGTAGGAAAGGCTTCAGCGCTGTTGGCATCTTCTCAAGTAAACCGTTGAGCGTGAGTAGAATGGCCGATTTTACTTCAGTGGCACGCTCAGAAACCACACGAATCAGCGGTCCTGTGATTTGGGTGACAAATGGCTTCAGAGATGCCTCGCTTGTCCGGTCAACGATATCGGAAATACCGAGAGCCGCTTGCACTCTTTGGTCCACAGTGCCGTTGATGAGACCCTGCAGGAAGATGGGAAGAACGGCGCTGATTCCCTTTGGAAGTTCGAATCCTCGCAAGTTGGCACCTGCAACTCCGGTACGCTGGAGCGTCTGCCGAGTCGATGACACAAGGGATTCCATTTCTTCCTTTTTGAGCTTCTTTGTGAACCCGCTCAGAGCAGTCCAAGCAGCCTTGACCACGTCCAAGTCGCTGTCATCAAACGAATTCAACAATGACCGTATAATGTCCTGGTTATAGCGAGAGTAATCCACGTTGGATTCGGAGAAGAAATTTCCCATGTGCCGAGCCGTGGCAGCCCTCCGTCGGTGATCTTCATGCTTAAGCAGGCCAAGAAGAACATTCATGACAGTATTAAGGCCATCATATTCGTCAATAGACTGAATCACCGTGTCGAATGATGTTGCTAATTCCTCTCGCAATCCTTCATCGCTACAGTTAATCTCATTCTCCATCAGCGACTGAATAATATTGGGTAGTCGGCGATTCATGGATGCGCCAGCAACCTTTGACAAAGAAGCCAAGGCCTTTGCATCAAATGCCGAGATTGGTGGTGTCGTGAGAGTTGGTATGAGATTAGGTAGAATGATATTGGACCGAGTAGAGTCAGTCAAAAGCGTTAGAAGTGCTGACAAGGCATTTTCTGCTTCATTCTCAGACCGAAGGAGGTTGAGTAGGAATGGAAGAACCTGGTCAACTGCCCGTTTACCGAAAATTTGCTGAAGGGAGTCAAAGGCCTCTGCAGCTGCCTCTCTAACCTCTGCATCTGAGTCAATGAGAGCAGTACGGACAACAGAAATGAG